ACTCACCCTGCTCTCATCCTCCAACAAGACACTGCTGAAGAAAACTCTATCGCTAGACTAATGTCTATGAATGCTTTAAAATACAACTCTGCTTCCCAACATGTGTCACTCTTTAGACTTTAAGGATCCTGCCCCTCCCTGTTTATCATTCTCTTTAAGGAATCACTGCTTTTCAGAAAACCTCGTATCACCAAATAACTTTTTTTTTTCAAATAAAGATCTTGGAGGAAAAGTCCCTCATCCAGACTGAAGTTGTGCATTGTGCCTGTCAACAGCTCAGAGGCCTGTGGCATGCCTCTCTAATTGAACTTTTAAATATAAAAACATGTGTTTGTTTAAAAAAAAAAAGGTGAACTATTAATGTGATTAGTAATTGCAGACTGGGATATTTCTTAGATGTAGGAAAATAACAGACCGACTTCTTATCAGTCCCACAGGCAGGGCTGTTGGTATATTTGATCCAAAACCTTGTAGGGTGAAAACCCCCGACCCTGCTGACCCCCGTGCAGCCCAACATGGCACAAGATGGTTTGATTGCACGGGTGGTCTCAGAGGGAGGCAGCGTGATGTGTCTGGGACAAACAACACTGGTCTTAGAGCAAACTAAAATGCTATTTTCAGCCTTAAACTGAACCACAAACTTCGGTCTCTAATGAGTATGGATGGTCAGGGTTATAAGTTTAAAGCTGCCCTCAGACGAGGTACCTGTGTGAGGCCACTGCTAATAAGAGGCTGTCTGAGCCTTATTTTTTGAAAAAAGAAGCCCTAAGAAAATTATGACTTTTAACAGAAACTTTGTCAAACGAAGCAAATTTCACTGTTATGCACTAAGTATCTCGGCTGCAAATGAACCGCATCCACATCAAGCTGTGAATATGAAATTAATCTAAGGCATAACCTTTAGATCTACACTTTGACAATATTTTAGTGCTGAGCTATAAATATTTGATCTGTTGCTCTTCTGAGTAAAATGGGTTTGTTGTGCTCATCTGCAGTTATCAATTATTCCAAAGTATATTTATTGCTGATTAAATGACTTGAAAAGTGCCTTTTTCTTCTGATGTTATTATGTGATATCTAGCAAGTAAACACAGAAATTAACTATCCCTAGCATCAATATTAACCCTTTATTTTGGGAAGAAAACATTTTCTGTCTGACAATACATAGAACTAAGCTCCAGCCAAGATATTTACAATACACGCTGCAGTCTAGTTAATTATATATGATTATATTTCTTTATGTTTTGGGGTCACAGTTAGTGCTAAGATCCAGCTTCCATTTGCAATCACTAGAGAAATAAAACAGCATCCTTAAGTCATCAGCAAAGAATGATTCAATCCATTGAAAGAGTATTATAAAACCTCCTTGCACCACGAAATAAATGAATCTAAACCCATGACTCACATACAGCAGCAGGATGATTTTTCAGAACAATGATGAGTTGAAAACAGACTTTTGTGAATAGTCTGAATATTGGATTTTTATCAATTCTTCTGCTTGCTGAAGGTGAGGACATCAAGAAAGCAGGAATATCTTGTGCAATGATATTGAAATGGCACAGAGGGGGGTGGGGGTGGCATTTTACACCTGTGTAAAGACTTGGCACACCTCTGGCAAAGCCGTGTTCCGAACAGAGCTGCAGTTTGCAGGATGTGACACAGAAGGGCTGTTCAGACCTGTTATGTGGCGTGCTGGGGAGCGAGACCAAGAGGCAGGAGTTAAGGAAACCCCAGCTTTGCCAAAGGCCACCTCGGCAGTGTGCCAGAAGCGGGGCTCTGGGTTGGTTTGGGTCTCTGGATGGCTGCATGTAGAGGACAGGGCTACATCTGGCCTCCTGGCCTGCACTAGAAGGATCGATACCTTACATGGTTTTTGTTCCAAAGAAACTTCCCGGATCTAGTTTATGATTGAGGACTCGGTCATTGAGAGTGCAAAATCTGACTGGTACAAGCTTTCACTGCTGATGGAAGCTCAGCTGCACCGTGAAGGGACTCAAAACCTTCAGCAGTTTCCCCCTTCAGACACCAATTACAGTAAATATCATCCGAGAAGCAGAAAACGCCTCAGCTGATGAGCTGCCAGCAATGCTGCCTGCCTGCAGCACCCTGGAAAAGAGCGCTTCCTTTCACCAGGAACATCACAATGTTACTGGTGGGAAAAAAACAGTAGGAACAGGCGTTGCAGGATCAGGTCCTGGGTGCTCCTGGCCCTGTAGGAACTGGTGTCACCAACCTGCTCCTACCCACACAGCTGAAATCTGACAAGTACAAACCCTGGCTCTGCCCAGCCGTTTTGTCACCATGTTCCTTATGATGAGTAATGTCACTTTTAGGCCTAATTATGCAGGTATATTTATTATCCTATGGTTGGCCATAGCACTGGGGTACTTGCGTAATTTCACAGACGAGTGACACTTAAGACAGCACATTACTGTCAGCAGCCTCCATCTCATTTCATGCTAATTGCTCTCCAAAATTGTGTGATGCAGTTTTGACACAAAAACATTTTCAACAGTATCATTAATTTGGGGGGGGGGCACACAACATTTCCTGAAGTAATTACAGCCAACATCCTCAGTCATTCCTAATTATTTAATACAGCCCCACCCAAACACACTTTAATGTTGATTACCAGAAAGACATGTATTATCTACTCTACTTTGAAGTGTGATAAATGGGTCTCTTTAGGAGAAAGTAAGTATTACCTGTTGTAACCAATGATCCAAAACACTGAAATACTTCATTTATCTGTTTTCCAAAATACTAATCAAACCTATTATTTAATTTACTTAACGGCACTGATGTTGGTAAATGATGCTGGTGTTGGACTAGATAACATCATGATACGTTTTAATGAACTCACTATGTTTTATAAGCTCCTTTGTCCTGAAATGATCATTTATGACTCAAAGAAAATAAAGTGCATCTTTTAACTCAAATGACAAGGAATTGAGTGAAATGAAAGCAGATCTGAATGATAAGGATGCTGCTGATCCAATCTTCCAGCCAGCCATGATGTGCACAAGCAGATCCCAGGAATTCACCGTACATTTTAATGTGCAATTTAATGTTTTTTCTCCATTTTCCTTTCTAGAAAAATTAGTTTATTTTGAAATGTTTTCTCTTTAAGAGGTACCATACTATGCCAATGAGCAACCTGAGCGTTGACCTGCTTCACTGAGGCATGGTGTATCCTGGAATCATTCTTTGATCATCCTCTAATACCAGCTCTACAGGTCACAAGAGACACCCAGGAAAATCAGGCTGTTTTGTCATTTCTGGGACAGATGGCAGCCCTTGACTCAGGGGACAGGATTCCAGGAATATTTACTAAACAGAGTGACGTGCTGTTCATCTGGTGACACATATAATGATGTGGCAGAACGAGTGCCTCATGCCAAGAGCTTGGGGTTTCTTGAGATTCTTTAGGAGTAGATCTAGAAGCAGAACTTCAGTATTTGACAGAGATCTGCTCTGATTTTTCACACGTGGGAAGAAAGGTGACCTCACATTAATCTTGTAGTGGGAATCTGAGAGAAAAAAAAGTGAGAGATCCATAAGTTTGAAAAACTGTTTCTGATTCTTCCTCTGTGCTGTCAGCAAACAAGCTTTTATGCTTTTTTAACTGTACTTCCAGAGGAACATGGCTGCTGAGCCCATGTTAACGCTGTTCTCCGTGCTCCTGGAGCACCCTCTTCTGTTTAAGGAGCTGCAATTCTCATCTCCACGTCCCAGCAAGACACAGACCTTTAAAATACGAAATCGGCCTGCAAAGCAAGTGCGGGAACATGAATTTCTTTAGCATCCAACCAGGCATATCAATGATTAACTCCAGCTCACCTTAACTCACTCTGACACCCCGGTCAGCTGTCACATGCTCAGATGCTGAATGCATGAATCACTACCTGGAGCACATACGCAAAAATGTCTCTAACAGACTGTGCTCTTAACGTACTGACCCTAACAGAGCCCATTTGCAGCACTGTTCTAATGGATGTGATATCCCATTTTCCACAGTGTTTCAGCTACACTTTTTAGCAAGTTTTTTTTTCCAATCACACCTAGTTTACACAGGCTACCTGCAGCCTGGGTTACAAAATCAGATCAAGAGGCAGAGCTGCAGGTCCGATGCATCCACTGCGGGGCTGTTTACCCCGGCAAAATCGCATGTAAATCAACATCCTGCTGCCAGTGGGTCACCAGGCTACCACATCAGCGGGACCCCAACCCCACCACACACGCTGTGGCCAAAACACCTCGTCCAGGGGAGAGCCGGTGCCGTGCTGCCCCACAGGCCCCCACGGAAGGCGCAGGGCAGTACCCAGTGGCGCCAGGAATGGGCCTGGGGGCCCCCCGCCTCCCCACAGGGGCAGGCCCTGAGGCGACACAGCGCAGGCCGCGGCCGCCCAGCACTGTTCAGTTGCCACCGGGCAAGAGATCGCCAAATGGCTCCTGCGAGCCGCCTCCACACTCAGAGGAGACCAGAGAGAGGCGGCTAGAGGGGCTCTGCCGCGGAGGCGCTCCGGGAAGCTCTTCTTATGGTCAGAGGCCTGTAGGAGTGAGGCTAGCGCTGCAAGCGGCGATGGGGCGCTCTGGGCTGCGCTTCTCTATGGTCAGGCGCTGGAGGACGCGGGGTGACGTCAGGAGGAGCGGCGCTGTAGCAGTCCTAAAGGGTAATTCGGGAGGGGCGGTGCCGCTCTAGGCGGAGACTCGATGGTCAGCCAGGCCGGCGCTGCGCCGGGGATCCGCGAGGGCGGGTTTCCATGGTCGGAAGCTGAGCAGAGAGTCGCGCGTGGGGCCGGGCGGCGCTCTAGGCCGCCTCTCTATGGTGCGGGCGGTTGCTAGGCGGTGCGGGGCCTAGGCCGCGGCGGGTCGGCGCCG